GCTACTCTTCTTTATGCTAGGAAGCAATAGATCATGAATACATATATTAATATTGATGGATAGACTCAGAGACAATAATGGTAATTCATTCAGCCTTGTGTTTTCTTTTATATTTAGCTTATGCTGCTGATAGTAAGGTTACTAGTTTACGCAGGTTTGTAATCACTGGTTTGATTTCTGCTTGCAGAAACTAAGGCATGTCAGGTAGAGGCTCTGACAATAGGATGGGTGCAGACTCTTGAGGCTCGATGTTACCCAGCATGGACTGGATTGAGGAGTGAGAATGGAGTGTAGTGGAAACGGAGGATGGACAGTGAGCAGCAGAATCAATTCTCAGATCTTAGGGCCAGTTCTAGGACAGAGTCAGGAAAAAGGTAAGAGAAACTGGTAAAGATGGGAAATAAAGAGTCAAGAGGGGGCCAACAGATGGTGTAGCAGTTAGATCGCTTGACTCCCACATGGCCTACCAAGGTTTGAGTCCTGGACTCGGTGGTTTCAAAATACCATTGGGCATGTGTATGTGCTTACCCAAGATCCTGGGAGGAGAATGGAAGAGAAGGAATTTTGGCATGGCCATCCCCCCTGGGGGGTGATTTCTCACTTTCCCTCTCACTGTCTTTGTCTCTCTCTCTCTGGTAAGAACACATGGTCTAAGGCAAATACCCGAGAGAGAGAGAGAGAGAGAGAGAGAGAGAGAGAGAGAGAGAGAGAGAGGAGAAGGAAGGAGAACGAGAACTAGAAGGAGAAAAGACAAGATGAAGGATGCCAGACGTTAGACTATCTGGGTTAGAAATTATGAGGAAAGAGATGGAGACATAGTGTGAATAATCTGAGAGATGAGTAGCTGGATATTTATATTTCACATCTAAAGTCATGTTTATGCTTATCTTTAAGGCTAAATGTCTCTGATTTAATAGGAGTTCTTACCACACCGGGAAGCTGTGGGGGCACTAGAGTGATAGTCCCTGGGAGATGGAAACTCTGTATCTTCCCCTCCCTCTTGGGAATAGGCTCCTCCTCACTCTCCCACCCATGATGGGAAATACCTTTTGGGTTTACATGAGGCTTTCCTTCTTGAGCTTGCTTCTCAGTTGACTTAAACAACTGCTTAAGAACAGGAGAGTAGGGCCAGACAGGTTGGGTGGTGGTTAAGGCAGCTGGATTCTCACATAGCTGAGTATGAGGTTGAATCTTGGACCAGGCAGCTAGAAACATGCTAGGCATGTGTGTGTGTGTGTGCCCAGAGAGCAGAATGGAGAAGGGATTGTGGTATGGTCATTCTTCCTGAGAGTTACTCTCTCAAATTCTTGTCCGTTCTCTCTTTCTCTTTCGCTCTATCTCCATATCTCCCCCACCAGTGAGTGCATGTGCCCTATAGAAAAAAAAAAAAAAAAAGAAAGTAAACCTAAAAATGTCTTAGTGAAGTAAGGATTGAAATCACAAACCTTTTTAAAAATAGTAGTAATTAATGGACTGATTTTTGAAATTTAGTACAAAATTAAATATAGATGGTAGACATAAGGCCATTGCATAGAACACCCCAGCTTTGCTTTCAGTGATATGTTATTAGTCACCTCAGAAATTGGTAAAAGTGACACAATAGGTCTTCCTTGCCCAACACTTCATTGGTAAACATTTATTAGGACATCATTGTTAGCATTCTTCTGCTAACGAACTATTGGAAGATACTCAAAAACTGTTGAAATTGATCTTGGAGGAGAAGTTGGCCTTCTCTTTCTGGAGTCTCATCAGTTTAATGTGTGATGTTATTATTAGTGAAATTCCTGGGAGTTTTTAATTATAGATTGTTATGACAGACTGTTAACAGTGAGTGTTAGGAGTTTGTATCACTGACTAAAAGCTTTTCGTTTCCCTACTATTTGGCTTCCAGGGTGGAGTTCTAGTAAAAATGACAGAAATGTGCCCTCCTTTGAACTGTTCAGAAAAGGACCACATTCTTCCGGAGAATCAGTGCTGCAGTGTCTGCAGAGGTAAGGGGGCTCGGTGGGCCTTGCTCAAAGTGGTGCTGGGGTGGCGTTGGGGGAAGGGAGGAGAGCATATGAGGTTTTATGATTAGTTGATGATGATAATGTGAGTCTAAAACTCTACTCTGGTACTTAGGATCTTGTATATCTGAATCACAACCTCCTCAATTATCAATTGAGCAAAAGAGCATTTGCTTCATAAGACAACTGTGAAGCTTAAGTGAGATAATGTGAAGCACCAAGGATCATACCTGCCTTGAGATAAAGGTTTAATAAGTGAGAGTTCCTGTGACCCTCGTCATCATTGTTACATTTTGCCAATGAGTGGGATTAGGGGAGCGTACTTCGCGTCTCTGACTGGGAGCCAGTTCCTGTATCTGCTAGAGAATGACTTACAATGAGTCTTTACTGAGGGGTTAGATTTCTCTACAACTTACTTTGCCTTCTGTAAGGAAAGAGCTTCAAATAAGGAGCACCTGGTTGCTAATTAATTCTTAGGCAAAAATTGTTTTGCTTCCTCTTACTGGAATTCCCTTCATCCCTCAACATATCATTTCCTTAAACCATAGTTGATGCTTTTTCTCCGAAACATCTCACTTAGGCAGACATTTGGGCATGTGAGTTTTCTTGTGTGTATCCTATGCTACTCTCATCTCTGAATTCAGACACTGGAATGAAGGAAGCTCTATTTTTTTTTTTTCCAACTGCCTTTTCATGAGAACCACCACCATTACTTCCATTTTCCTGGTTGACCCATAGCAGAGGTAATTCCAGAATGTCCAGCCCACCTGTCCTCTCCCTCCCCCCCCTTTTTATTAAGATAGATTTTTGCTATAGGGGATGTGACTTGCTGGAGAGACAGAGACAGACAGAGAGACAGAAAGTGAGAAATCAGATGACCACGCTGCACTCCCTTCTTCTCCATTTTCCTCTTGGGATTTTGGGCATGTGCACACACACACCCAGCATGAGTTGCAAGCCTCCCAGTCCATGACTTGAGCTGTGGGCAGCCATGTGGGAGTCCAGTGATGTAACCACTGTACCTTTTGCTGATCTCCACTTGTCCTCTAGGTTTGGCCCGCTCTGCACATCAGGTGCTGAGAAAGTCAAAGGCATATATAGGTGGTGGGGTATCTTTTTTATAAAACCCCATGGTTTAAATGATGATAGTAAAAAATCCATCCAGATAAGTTTAAAGATCTGTTGTCTTGAAGTCTTGGAATTTTACCTCATCTCTCTAATTCCAATTTATTTCTCAAGATCATGTCTGACGTAACATAATTGTCTCACAATTTTGTGAGAAATACTTTTTCCCCTTTGCCTTCTATTTTTTTTTTTTTGACTCTTCTCTGTGCTCATGTTTTCTCAGTAGAGTCTTGCAAGAGGAAGAGGGGGTTGTATAATTACTGTGATGAAAGACTTGGAAAGCCCTGTGAACCTCTTCTCAGGCAAATAATTCCATTCTTGCCTCCCTCCTCCTTTCCCTTCTCTGAAATAGAAAGTAATGAAAAGGTGAGAAACACTCAATTTGTATGTAAAGTAATTTTTACCCTGCGTATGGAAGTGCTGCACAATTGGCTTTGTGGATGGCGACTGTCCACAGACTGACTTGCTGGGAGGCAGTGAGTAAACAGAGCTGAGGCTCTGACGAGCTGCAATGCTTGTTTTGGGGATGAGCACTGTGGCCGGCTACAACTCGATGGCTTCTGCCACCTTGATATTATTGATTACAAAACCCAGAGTGGCTGTGGCCTTTCCATCCCTGCCCTGAAGGCCCTGCCATTAGCATATTTATCATCTCTCTGTCTTGCTGTGACCGGCAGGTCATTAGTCTGAGGGATCATTCCTCAGAAGTCTAAGTCAAGACCTCACTCATGCCTGCCAGGGGAATGCAAAGTTTTCCAAGGTTTATTTTCACTGGGACTCTGATGAGCTGCCTTATCTGGGGAATTTTAGACCAGGAATTTGAGAAAACTATGAGTGGTTTTTGCTTTCTGATTTCAACTGGCTGATTATATAATATTTGTAAAGCTCCAACGTTAAAAATAATTGTTTTCATAGTCACATTTTATGAATTGATTCTTTAAATATAGAAAATAAGGTAGGGGTGAAGATAAGTTCTAGCCATATCTAATTTTTCTGCCATTTTCATTTCAATGACTTTCAGTGACATTATTTTCAATACCCACTAACAGATTCTCTATATTTTGTAAGTGAAAGAATGAACTATTTTACTGAATTATAACTTGTTTCCTCAAGTTAGCTTATGAAACTAATTTTTTGACTGATATGTGCTCATTTTCTTATATGATTGATTACTCCCCATCTTCCCCCACAGCAGATACATTGACCACTCGAGTTGAAAGGTGCAGACTACAGCTTCACACTGTGTATTTCTCTGTGTTGGAATGTGACCTAAACCCTTTGGTGAAGTCCGTAACTGACTTATGATGGTTATTGTATCAACAGAACTGGTGTCTAGTCTAGGGGCTCAGATACTTTTCCTCTTCAGATCTTGGATATGACAAATGCACTAATTCCCATTTTTTTTTTTTTTTGGATAAAAGTGAAGGTACACCCCTGAACAGGTGGTTAAATACCCAGGACTATTTATGCAATGGAATGTTCCAAGGAAAAGAATTGTAGAACAATTAAGAAGGAACATAGAAGACCAGCTGGTGGTGCGGTGATTAAGGAGGTTGGGTTCTACGTGGCTGACTGTATGGCTTAAGTGCCAGACCTAGTGGCTTGAGAAACATGCTGGGTGCATGTGTGCGCATGCCCAGAATCCCCAAAGTAGGGACAGAGGGAGGAGAGGAAATTGTGGCATGACCATTTCTTATGGGGGCCCGGGGCTTTTTCGTTTTCCTGATGTGTGCATGTGCATGTATGTGGGGATATATCTCTGGGGAGCACACATGCCCTCTAGCAAATTAAAAAAAGAGAGGAGGAGGAAACATACAGAAGAATTAAAGGTGATAGATATTGGCAGGGACAGGCTACTTTGGAATTGCTGAAACTCAAGGTTTCAGTCATCAATAGCACCACCTAGAACAGCACTAACCACTGCTAGAGCTTTTCTCTGCTACCTGAGGACAGTTTGTGCTGGCTATAAGAAATTTGCTTACCCTCCTCATTACTTTGAGGTAATAGCAGTAGCAGGAGCCTGCCCACTTGAAGTGTGAGGTTATTAGATGGAAAAGAGGGAGTGGTGTGCATCTGTACTTCCTTCTGAAAAGAAATAATAAAAGCATAAATACAGGTCTAGCAAAAAAAAAAAAAAAGACTGCTCGTGAGTTTCAAGATTAGGGAGGAAAAAGTCAACAATGTTGACCAAGCCTTCTCAGGGTGCTCAAACACACTGATCATTTGGCCCAGCCCAGCATTCTTGACACACTCCTCAGGATTTTATTCCCCTCATAATCAACTCTAATTGTACCTTCAATGTTGCCAATGACTTTGAAGGGTTTTGTTGCATGTTTATGACTTTCAGTGTTGGGAAAAAAGTTCTTTCCAACATCTGTTCCAAATGTGTTTATCTGTAATTTTAATTCATGCTCACTTGCCTTGTCATCTGGCCTGGACTGAAATTAGTTTGGAGTATTTGTTCTATTTAAGATTTTATGCCCTTCAATTAAATCCTCCCAAAGAGTCTTGACATCACATGATTTCCTTCTCTAGTTTTCCTCATCACTTTAGGTGAATTTTTAATTGAAATAGCTTTAGAAAGAGGATTTCAGGGTATTTGAGGTGAAGAGAGACCTGGAAAAGAGACACTTAAAAAAAATGTAAGTTAGTACCTGAATAGAGGCACTGCAGTTTGCAGATGGACCAGGTCCTCATTCATAGATGGGGTCTGATCAAAATCCCAATACTGGGTTGAAGTAGTCTGAAAAAAATAGGGCTATAAATGCAGCTGTTGAAGCTGAGAACAGGTCATTTGAAGGAGACTAGAGACCCAGACTACTGAATTCTGTGCCCTGAAGCTGTTAAAATGGATCAAGGTCCAGGAATCCTCCAAAAGAAAGCACATTGCTCCAGATAGATCTGAGACAAAGGAAAGGCTGCCTTGGACCAGAACGTTCTTGAATTTTGACTACTGTAGGAGAAACAAATTGCTTTCTAACATAGGAACTGCGTGTCCAGAGCTCAGTCTCTAACAGGATTATACAGATGCTCCAATAGTCCGTCCACCAAAAGCTGAAGGAATGTTCTCACCCTCAAGAGGCAGGGCTTCTCTGTGGTGTGTATGTTGGTTGTGGATTACAAAAGGACATCCAGTTCTTATAAAGGATCTTTGGACCATGTTCTTTTTAACTAGTCCATGATGTAGCTGACTCAGTACATCTAAGGCACATAGAATATGCTGTCCTTGGTATAGCATTATTTCTTATGTGGATTTCAAGGTCTGGCTTGCACTAGTAGAAGTGAGAGCTCTTGGCCTTCTGAGGTTTGAGTTAGGATAGAGAAATCCAAAGTGCATTTTCAGATTGTCCAGGAGATAATTCAGATTGTCCAGGTTTATAATTTTAAAGGTAACTTGTTTGACCTCTTGGGGCGAGAGATTGAGTGCAAGCGATGGTACTATATGTGGAGTCAGACTTTGATTTGTTACAGAGGATAAGTCTTGCCTACGGGGAGTAGCCTATTAATTTCTTATTATAGACAAAGTCACAGGATTAAATCAAATGTATGTCCATTGTTAGTAAGAAGCCAGAGAAGAAGAAGAATGAGTGGATGATGTTGCCATAATTATAAAGAATACAGAACGAAATTTGGAAAGGGTGGTATTGGCGGATGTCATTATAATAGGGGTAATTATGTGCAGATTAAATCAGTGAATTTAAAGAAAGCAAATTGTTTTATACTAGTGTTATTAGTCTTTCACTGGCAATCAACTTTTTTTTTTTTTTTTTAAGGTTTTTGCCATAGGGCGTGTGCACTTGCCAGAGAGAGGGAAAAGTGAAAAATCCTGCCTCCCCTCCCCCCCAGGGGGATGGCCATCC